TATCCAAGAGATCAAGGTTAACTCACAGTGGCGGGAGATGGACAGCATGTGCTACCTAAAGGGCACAGTGAGAGCAGAGCTCCATTTCCGTGATATTCTTGCCAAAAACCATTGACCTGCCACTCATATGAGAATCACGAGCCAAAACCAAATTGAAGAATATTCTGTAAAACAACCAGCTTCAATCTTAAAATATGCTCAAGTCATGAAAGTCAGAACACTGAGGAATTGTTTCAGATTGAAGAGACATGATAAGGAAGTCAACAACATTCTGGATTGCCCTTTTCCTATTAAAGATACCATTGGGATTGTTAGTGAAATAACAAATAATAAATAAATAGGTTCCTCTGGGTGAATGGAATGTGAGAGTTTTTTCTTATAGTCAGAGAAGGGAGACAGTTTGTAACTTTTCTGTAAATTTTTGCAACTTTCCTGTAAGTTAGAAATTATTTTTAAAAAATGTTTTAAAAAGTACAAATTTGAGAAATTCTAAACGTTAATTTAAAAACCTCTTGAATAGTAAAAATACAAAAAATGTTCATTCCTTCTGGCAATGAAATGCAAATAAAAGCAGTTTTGCCTGGGCACGATGGCTCACACCTATAATCTTATCTACTGGGGAGGCAGAATTCTTCAGGAGGATCGTGGTTCTAGGCTATTCTAGAAAAAAGATCATGAGACCCCATCTCAAAATAAAAGCTCAGTGTGGTGGTATGTGCCTGTCAACCCGGCTATGCAGGAAGCATAAATAGAAGGATTGTGGTCCAGGCTGTCCAGCAAAAAGGACTGGGGTTGTAGCTCAAGTGATAGGGCATCTGCCTGCTAAGCACAAGACCCTGAGTTCAATCAGAACTGCCCCCCACAAAGGTAATCTTAAAGTATCATTTTATACCTCAAAGCTTTATAATATATTATAACTAGAAGGAGTGTATTCTTTATTTTGTTTTCTAAGTACTGTTAAATAAAACGACACATAACCACTACAAAACTCTATAGAGAACATTCCATTATCTTTTTCATTTTACATAGGCCATTGAGGCTCAGGGACACAGGTGGTTTCCTGAACTTAAAGAGCCAGCAAGAAGTAGTAGCAGAATATGAACTCAAGCAGTCTGGCTCTATGATATACTGCTGTGCATATCCATGCAGAGCTGAGAGCTAAAAACTAGCACAATCCTTCTGAAAGGCAAAAACGCCGTGCCATCCCTCTAGTCACCAAATCCTTACACTCTTACCCACTAACGAATTGCTGAGGATTTATCCTAAGGAAAACTTTAACAGAGAGGAGAGGGTATATGCAGAAAGATGGTCACCATAGTAGAAAATTCTTAAATAACCAATAATGAAATGATTAATCATAATTTATCAACTTGATTAAATACTCTACAATCACTTAAAATGATAATTATGGAGACAAGGGCTAGCAGAGTGGCTCAAGTGGTAAAGCACCTGCGTAGCAAGCATGGGGCCCTGAGTTCAAACCCCAGTGCTGCCAAAAATAAAAATAAATTAAACTAAATTAAAAGATAATTATGGAGCTATATTGGAAATAGGGAAATGTTTATAGTAGTTAAAAATAAAGTATATGCATATTTGCACATGTGTAAAAATTGTATGTGCAAAAAAAAAAATAAGTTAAAAAGTTAGTATCTAAGAATGTCTAGATATAGGTCCTAGAATAATCGGTTACATTTCTGTTTCCAAATATTTTAATTTTTTCAATAAAAATAAAAATCAAACCCACAATATCCCATTGATATCCATCAATATCCTATTGATGAATGCCTGGAAAATGATGCAGCAGGATTCTTTTCATACTTCTTCCAAGTCTCCTTTAAAGAAGGTGGGTAGTGATTATATCCACTTATATGGAAAGTCATTAAGTTTTTTGAAAAATCATCTAGTAGGATAATATAAACTTACAAGTAATTATAATACACACACCTAGAAGTACATCTGCTGGAGTATCTACAGTAGTAATCTCTATATAGAGATATAACAAGGGATTCTTATTTTTTATATCATTTTTGAACTTTGCATTAGACACATGTACTCATTTCTAATAATATTTTTGAAGGCCTATAATAGATAACACATTACTAGGCTCAAATATTTTTAAATGATACATGATCTTGGCAACCAACTCTATAATTTCATAAAAAGTAGACAACTTTTTCACATAATTTATCCCACATTCAGAGTTCACTAATTCTGTTCCTTCTGCTAGACACCTTCTTGACAATTGTACCTCATATGAAATGTCAAAAAATGATTGAGAATATGCTTATAGATAATTTGTACACAATCCTAATACTTATGCATACAGATCACTAACCAATGAATAGATATTAAGAAGGAAATGTCATTCATTTTTTCTGTAAACTTTAAAGCCCAATAGAAAAATACAAGTTTAGAAAGAGTTAGTCACATTCCCCAATAATAGAAAGATAATAAAAATAATCCTATTATGTAGAAATACCTAATGTTAGCATTAGAAAGTAATTAGACATGTCCACAGACTAGAGAAGGATGACCACAAAAGTTAAGGAGCAACACATCTGATGGAAGGAGGCCAGGGCTATTAGGGAAGAAAGTCACAGAATACATAAGGAAAGTAATTTTCAAAACTATGAATTGGAAACTTAAATCTGAAGGAATTTCATCGACTTGGTATGGTTTTAAAGTACAGGCCTCTAAGAAGAAATGAATGCTTTGAACATCTTGTATGTTCTGCCACATAAGTGAGTATTCAAAGTGAGGAAAGTCCTAAGCTTCCAAAAGATTAATATGTTCAAATCTGATGGGCTATAATGGAAATCATGACGTGCAATCTTATCCTGGTACAAGTGTGGATCAGGGACAACCCTTCACATTTCTTCCTGTGAGTTCCTAGAGTTAAAAAGAGCATACAACAGCGATGAAACCATGCCATCCCTGAAGTGTTCTATCTTCTGCTTGTGCCAAACATGATTTTTATTCTCTAAAACCATTTCTTCCTCAAAAGAGTTCACCAAAGTTGTCATCCTTCCTATCAGCAGCCCCACTGGGCTCTGGTGAGTGACATCCAGACATTTAAACTCAAAAGCTGCTTCAGAAGAGAGTTATTAAAATTCAAATGAGCTGGGCATATCGAAGAAGAAAACACTCGTTTGCATGCACACCTCTGCTTTTGGCCATCCCATTTAGTCCCATAGAGCAGGGTCTGGTTTTGTTTTTGTAAATGGGCTTTGGAGGCGGAGGTCAGCCTCCCACGGCCCCCACTCCTCTGGGGTCATCATTAGTAATGTGTAAGGCTGAATAGATTTTCCTCTGAATCTAGCCAGTAAACCTGACAAGAAGGCAGCCCTCTCCCACAACCTGAAAATGCCAAAAATTCAATTGATAATATGGCATTTTTAATACTTCATTAATCTGTTTTAAAACAGCTTTCAGCAAGACTACACATCACAACACCAATTTCACTTCCACCTGATTTTTCAGCCTCAGAGCAGAATAATTCCTGTTGTGCCATGATTGTGTAATCATAAAAATGTCACATTCAACCAAGAATTCCCCATAAGTTTCAGAGAAAATTCATTTCTGCCAAGAAATATGGCTCTGGGGAGACAAATGACATTTTATTTGCTAGAAAAGAAAAAGAGTCTTTCATTTGACCTAAGAGTTTTTTATTCTGTTTCTCATGGAAACATCTCACATTATAATCATTCAAAAATCTTATAAGATAGCAATAAGCAACCTAATAAAAAAAGTACAGCAAAAATAAACAGTTCTAACATGATTCTGGCCTCAGAAACTTTAGATGTTTACTTAGTGAGAATTCAGTTTCTTACTAATGAATATTTTAAGCAGACTTAATCCATAGCAATATGGTCACTAAAGTAACTTGTACATTGCTTGTAATATATAATGTTTATATCTCATGTACAACAATGACATAACCATATGTCAACTTCTGCTGGGGAAAATTTAAAGCAAATAATGTTAACTCATGATACTGGGATAAAAGAAACCGTAGCATCAACTATAGAGCTCCAGACACCAAATGCAAGTCTCTAAGCTGTGCAAATAGTTCAAAATCTGGAAGCTCCAAGGATTACTGCACCCAGTGGGAAATCAGACAGAGTAACCTTGAACTCCCCTCCAATGGTAACATTTTATCTTCTATGATCTTCACTGATAACGCTACTTCCTCCAGATTCCTCTAGCTTTTCATTTTAAGTTCTTTTAGAAACTTTTTTCTTTCCAAAATTGTAATGATCTCGCTATAAATACAGGCACCAATTTTCCTAGCCAAGAAAGAATGATCTTAGCAAATATCAATGAAAGAATATTTCATTAATGAAGCTGGTACCTGAGGCAGAACATGTTCAGTTCTAATCCATTTTTTCGACTCGCAGCTCCAAAAAGTATGTGTATCATTAAAGAGCACTTCTTCAATAACTCACATGGCATAACTGTTCTGGCTCCAGTTAAAAAAGGCACTCAATCTCTGTCTTCATACTGCTTGTGCTCTCATGTGGATGGCAGCAACACAGAATCACAAAGGGACAAATGTGTACAGGGAAAAAGAACACAAACTGAAACTAGGAACTAGAGCCAGTGGCTCCAACAACACAATTTGATCACACAAGGTACAGGGACAAGACCTACTTCCAAGGGATACAATCTGCACTGAAGTGTTTTTTTCTCTTCTTAGATCACAGTAAATTGACAGGAAAAGCAATGTGAGTTTATACTTTTGAAATGGCCAAATGGAATATTAAGGTTATCACAGAGCCACCCAAGATCAAAGACAGTGATTCCAAGAGACTACCCAGTGGGTATGTTTATGTAGCTATTATTGTAGTTAACCTCCTGGTCATCTCTATTAGAAAGATAATTTAGCTCAAGAAAATAGCCCTTCAGATTTGTATTGTTAATTCTACAGAGGCCTGCTTAGGGCACACAAACTTACTTAACATGTAGAAAGATGATAAAATTCAAGGAATGTGCTCACTTGCCTTTTTTGCCTCCTGTAATGAAGAAGCCAATGGCTGCTCTAATAAAACTGCTTTCAGGCAAATAGCTGTAGTCTGTAGGAACTGTGGAGACAGAAAATGATCAAATTAACCAGTGAACTTGGCAGGACTAATGATGGAGAGATAATGATCTCATGCTGCCACATCAACCTACAGACAAAGTGGAGATGTTTATGCCATTAATCTCAGCACAATATTCTGTGGCTGCAACTAATTCTGTTAGATTAAGTGACTAGCACTGAAGTAATGACTTAAGCTATGCAGGAAAATCTACAATGGTGACAAACCTAGAAAAAAAAATCACAGGATGAATACTTGAGTTAAGTGGTTAAAAATCCTTTCCCCTCCACATTGTCAAATCAATGAGTCCCAGTTCAGTGACCTCCTCAGGGTTTTAGGCTTAGATCCCTGTTCTAAGGGTCACTTTAGGACATGCTGAACCAGATACATGAATCATGGAAATTCAACAATCAGTACTAATAGCACCAGTTTATTACCTAAGGCAGGGACCTCTAAGTGACAAACATGTGCAAATAACCAGATGTGGTTGCTGACCTGGAATGGTGAAGCAGTGACATGTATGCTAGTTTGGTCCTGAGAGTTTCCTAAATCCTTTTCCTCCCAGGCACCTATAACTATTTCATGAGATAGTTCTTACTACAATAAATGGCTCAGTTGGAAAATTTCATCAGGAACAAATCACTGTGCTTTTCCAGACATACAATCATTTTGTTCAGAAGAACCTGGGTATAAGATGATTCAATGCTACCTGATTTGAGTAAATGGGTCAGACTAAGTACTCCATAATATAATTAAAAGCCTATGCAAAATAGCAAAAGCCTGATATAAATATGCTGCTTTACAAGGATACTGTTTATGACCTGACCTTCAAAACTAGCATTACCAAGGGTTTCCAGTATGACTGTTTTTTTTCCCATTTTAATATGACAACTTCCAGCTGTCTAAAATTCATTATGTTGGGAAGGCTATATTTTTATAGCTACAGACTGAATGAAGCAAGGGAAATAGTAATTATTGTGGCCCACATTCATGGCTATGATGTTAGTAGACTACCTGTCAGGAATAAGTGAAATTAAATTTTAACAAGGAAACTTTGATACCTAAACCTCTCTGGCCTGGGTCCAAGATAGCCAGTGAGTCAAAATTCTACAAAGAGAAAGGAGCACATATATTAACAATGATGCCTTCTTCAGAAAATCTTCAAGTACAAACAAATTAAGCATGTGGGAATTGTGAATATTTTAATTGCTTTTATCAAAAAGCTACAAATAGAAAATGCTTTGTTACACTAAGATACAGGATTTCAGTTCCCAGGGAAATGCACATCTTTAAATGTAGTTAGCTCATTATTTTTATAAAACCATGAACCAGAATAACTCCAGTCATATATAAAGAGACTTTTAATGAAACATAATACCATTACATCTAGTAAAGTAAAAATGTCTGCTCTAAGCTTTAATGACCTGGTTCCTTGTTTCAGGATTTGTCACTAAACAAACTCTACATGCAAGCCATATAATCCTTCTGAGCCTCACATTCTTCATTTTTAAATATGAGGGTTAGATTGAATGTCTACAACATTCTCTAAGGAAGGCAAAGAGGAAACATGAATGAGTGTGGGGTTTAGAGGCCAACAAAGGTGGAGTTCAAACTACCACCTCCTGCCATGTAACCTTGTATAAGTCAGGCAGCCTCTCCATACCCCATTTCTCTCGGATATAAAACAGAGATGGTAGCATGCACCACTTAGGGTTGTTGTGAAGAGTAGTACTCTTACCACAGTACTAAACACTGAGTAACTTCTTATTCCCGTCCCAGTGTTTTAGGACTTTAATCTTACCAGAGGTTCTACTTTGATTTGAGGACACAGTAGATAGATGGAGATGTCCTAGAAGCCAGATTGCATTTGACTGAAGACCAATCACCCCAGAGACACTGATGACCTACAGATGAAAATACAACAGTTCAATGGTGGGGCAGGACCAAACCTCCATTCAATAAAGGGTCACACACAGAACATCACTAATGTTTTGTAAGACAATGGCTTGGCTGGTAACGAGAAGTTCTATGACAAGACATGATGTGTGTGTCAGACACTAGATGTAGTTATAATACAGGTACTCAACAAGTATTTGCTACATGAATGTATAAATGAATTATATAAGCAATTAATTGTGGCAGAAATAAAGAGTGTTTTGCTCATGTTATTCCTGAGTCAGACTGTTCTCCAAGGAATTTTTAAAACTATGGTAGAAAAAAACTTAAGATGTACAAAAGAGGTGAAGGATAGTTATACTAAAATACTTCTAAAAAAGGAAGGAGATATTATTTTGTTCTCTTTTTTATAAACATTCTTAAAGAATAGTTTTCATTTACAGATTTTCCTCCAAGTTACAGCAACTTAAGTTTTCAGTAAAATTTTCAGAACATATTCATAAATGTTTCTTTTGTTTAGAGATTTATGTTTGATGTCAAAGCATGAATTACTAAACTTTATGTAGTAGGTACTATAATTAGGTATGTTTTATAAGAATGAAAATAAGCATGCTCAATGAAAAGATTAAGTTATAAGGTTCTGGACCCAGTAAGAATACCAATCATGCAAACAAAGTAAGAATGTTTGGAAATACAACCGTATGTTACAGTAGTTGCTTCAGGTTTGGAGGACCACTGAAGATACTTTTTCAGCCTCTTTTGTTCTGTACTTTCAAATTTTATCCAATGAATACAACATTTAAAAAAAAACTTAAAAGATAAAAACATTTCTTAGCAGATAAATAATTTATTCTTTAGCTAGGAATAATGACAATAATTCATCACAAATACTTTTATCATTGATATCTGAACTAGTGTCCCTGATCATTCTTCCTAGATACCTGCCCTGCCCTTTGATCACCTTCTTTTTTTCTTTGTCCTAGGGCCTGCTAATCACCACAGGGTTAGTTTTTAATTTTTAAGGGAAATCAATACCAACCTAAATCAAAATGCCAGATTTTTAACTGGAGACATAGCTCAGCGGTTGAGTATTTACTTAGCAAGTGCAAGACCCTGGGTTCTAGCACTACTCCCCTCCCACATCAAAAAAAAGCTGTGCATGTTTATCAGTGAATACAGGACCATATACCACTCCCAAATCCCCTTTTACTTCACCATGAAGACAGAGATTTCTGCATTATCCAGGTAAAACATCTTATATTATATAAAAGGACAAGAAAGGGGGTTATCTGTTTTCCCACCCAAGGATTTTTAAGTTTCACTTCTCACTTGAGTTAAGGTTCTTATGACTTCATTAAGTCTGCTTTGAAAATGAGACGTCTGGATGGCTTCTGACTTCAGCTGAAAAAATGAGAAGAAATATCCATCATCCTCTTCCCAAAAGTAAATAATTATATTCCCAGTGCATGAGCAAACATCTTCTAAATATGGGATAATTTGTCATGTGTCCTTATATTTCAAACACATAAGCTCAGAGTTCCTCAAGGCCAGTGCCAATGCTTTATTTATCATTGATTTTTTCAGTTTGGCATGTAGCAGTCACTCAACAAACTTACTATATGCACAAAAGAGCTCCTTTAGAATTATGTGTAAACCTACACAAAAACATTTAGAAGTTACATTATGAAAACAGTATTTATATAAACTTAAAAATTACAGATACAAACTGTAGTTTCTTGTGAATGACTTTTGAAATTTGTTATTACTCAATCACTTTTCTCAGGCAGGGAAATTTGTGGAAAGTACCTACATTGACCTGGTTTAATCTCTACAAACCAAATAAAACAGGGAACAAATCTCTACTAAAAGAATTTTTGGTCAAGAGCACCTTTTCATACAGCAAGTCTTTGAAAACCCAGCATAACTATTACCATGAGCACATATTCTTCTGAATTTAGCATACTAAGGCAATGGATATCCTCCTCCTGCCATGGCTATATGCACATTTAAATTCCTTCCTCTCAACAGAGGGTCCCTTTCTTTACCTGCATTGCATCCCCTTCAGAGCCTACCAAGGCTACCATGCCATGAAGGGCTGCCAGACACAGCATTGTGGGAGTGCCCTGAAAACAAAACATCAGAATATATCAAGAGCAAAATACTCCTTGGGTTTGGATTCTATAAAAGTTATTATTGCAGGGAGAAATAAATGGTTAACATAGTACTAAATGTGTAGGATCAGTATAACCTGTATAACTAACTAAAATAAATGCAACAGACTAAAATAAAGTAGCATATTAAGAGTGCATGATCATAGGTGTCTTGCTGTTTTTATTTTTCAAAAAACGCAATGTTTTCAAATTAAAGCACTGATCTAGTAGCCAGTTTAAAAAAAAAAACTATAATGGTTGATAGGATGCATTGTTTATGAGGAATAAAAGTACATGTCTCTTTCATTTGAAATTGCTTGTTCTTTTATAGTTAAACTACATATCTTAGCAGTTCTTATATATGGTCCAATAAACTGGTCCTTTTTCCTTTATAAAAATATAAAATAGCATACAGGATGTGACCTCTACCTCTGCTAGAACAATTCTGATCCAACCAGGGAGAAGTTTGCTGCCCAAGTCTTCAGCTTTTCCATGTCCGCACACAGATAAACCATGAACTATGTTTCCTAATGCCAGGGCAAAACCTGAAGTCTGGTATAAGTACATTAAAAACAAGGGTGAGAAAAAGAAGAAAAAGACACAGATTAGGAATATTTATACATACAGAAAAACAAGCATTTCTAGGGGTTGTTCCTACTTACAAATCTATTTGTCTTCTGAAAATCAGAGGTTTACAGATTTTTTTTTTTTGATCTAGACTTTGGTTGGCAACAGAAACTGCAGAGTCTAATTGCAGGGAGTTCAGCTGCAGCAAGTAGTTTATTTTAGGAAAATATACTGCATAGAGTAACTCAGCTCAAGCAATTCCAAATCTCAGAAGGGATTATATATAAAAACACCAAGATGGACCACACAAGGTCAGTGAACACCTAAACAATGACAGAAAATACCCCACATCCAACAAAGCACATGAAAACTTCTGAATGTGAGCAAGTGCACACAACCATGAAATAGCAACAAGACCTGCATAAGCTTAAAACCTGCAAATCCTACAATAACCCACTGTGGCCAATACAATGACTCTGGAAAAACCTCTAAAAAATTAAAATCCAACTGGGAAAATTCTATGGCATTTGCAATTAGATGGATTTTTTTTTCCATTGGAGGGTGTGGAATTCATGCCTGTGAGGCAGGTGCTCTACTGCTTAAGCCACACCTCTAGTCCTCAATTAAATGAATACCAGCTCCATAGCATTGACTACACTCAACCACTTTCAGAATTCTTTCCATCTTGAAAAACAGAGACTTTGTACTCATTAAACACTAACTCTATTCCTCCCTCTCCTCAACCCATGGCAACTACCACTTGACATTCTGACTATTTGATTCTGGCGATGCTATGTAACCTCATAAAAGTAAAATCATACAGAGCCTCCCCTGTAGTTGTCCTATTTCACTTAGCATAATGTCTTCAAGGTTCATCCATACTATAGTACATGGCAGAATTTCCTTTTTAAGGCTGAGTAATATTTCAGAGGGATCATTTTAAGGTTATTTAGTTTACAGGTATTTAATTTTCCTATACGTATTCAGCTATGAGCAGAGAATTTTCTGCCTTGAATTTGCTGAGGTTTGACTGAATCAGAGTTCTCTATGTATTCACATCTTCATAAATTACTGTTGCTAGCTTTGTATAATTCTGATATTCCCTAGCTACATATTTTAAGATGTAATTGTATTTACTTCCCTTTTTATTTCTTAAATGCTCCCGATGAAGCCTGTTCCCCAATCCAACCAGTTGTCTTGAACCTCTATTGTATGCCAGGGCTGCTATGGTCCAGTCTCTCAAGCATAAGGTAAAGCCTCTTTGACTATGAGTCACCTGCAAGGCAGCCTGTAGGGGACTCTTCGCAAGAGTAGGAAGTCCCTTGGCCCATGGAGGTAACTCCAGATGCATGGTTCCCAGTACTTGATGGGCCGAGTGTCCTCCTGACCCTCCTCACCTGACACTGAATCAGAATCATCTCTGGACTCTACTTTACTTTTAAGATGGGGCTGATGGCTCAGCGGCTCCACTGCCCACAGCATCTTGTTACTGCCTCTCACACTCCTGTATGACTGGTTGTAAGGGGTGAGTCCCACATCCCAGCTCAACTACCATGGAAGAAAATCTTTTACTTCTTACTTCTATGCTCTAATAGGTTACTTGGACCATCATCTACCGTATTCTATCGTATAATTCTTCTACCGTATTTCTCTATTTCTTCTACTGTATTTCTCTACCTTATAGTTCTTCTTCTGTATTTTTTTCTTTTACTTAACCTCTTTAACATAGATTTTTTTTAAAGCCTATATATAGACTTTCCCATGTTTTTACACCTGACTGTATTCAATTCACTCTCCCTCTCACTTTGCTTATTTTTCATTTCTCTACTATGCACGTGCTTCCCAGAGAGTGTCTCCTCATCCCAGGCGTCCCTGTTCGGGTGCCACCCAGAGTGAGCTTTCTCTTGCTCCCTTGTTCTCCTAACCTAACTGGGGACAATGGGACACTCAGAAAGGAGAAATGATAGAAGACAGATATGCAGAAAGTTGGGGCCAGGTGAGCTGGGTGCTTGGATGGAAACCCACGACAGCCTTGTTGCTCTTTTACTTCTCTTCTCTGTACTGTTTTTCTCTAACTTTAAAACCTTACTTCTAAAGTCTTCTGTTCTTTAAAGTCTCTTTCCTTAGACTTGCTCTGTCCCATGTCCCATGTTAGCTTTTCTTTAGCATAATCTCTCTTAAAGTCTTTGTCCTCAGACTTGCACTGCCCCATTTTCCCTGTAAAGTCTCGGTGCTCAGACTTGCACTGTCCCATGTTTCCTCTAATCTCTAGCATAACTCAGCAGCAGCAGCGCCATTCTGTAGCAGTCCCCTTGCAAGCCACCAAACAACCAACCCATCCCCCATCAAAAAACCCTCCATCAAAAAACCTCGCATCCTCCTTCAATGACTCTTTTATATCCAGTGGTAAACAGGAAGGTGGAACAACATTTCTTGGGGAGGGGTGTGACACTGTAACAAGAGAAACCTGTGCTCCTACTTCTCTGAACATAAACAACTTAGGAAAAGCAGTAGTGATACATTTTGTACTTCGCTCTCTTCTGTGGCTGGGTCAATGCCAAATTCAGCCTGTAGATCATTGAGCACAACTGTGCTTATGTCAAGTTCTCATAGGCTTCTCATAATTCACTCCCCACATTTACTAAACACATCTGTGGTACATTTACACATTGGCTAGAGAGAGAAAAAAAAGTCTATCAGTAATGTCTCAGACAAAGAAAAAGAAACATCCACAGAAGGAGACAAGAGGATAAGGCAAGAAAAAGATTTGGATTGCTGCCTAGAGCAATGGAGAAGGGTTCCTCAGTTCTAGATACAAAAACATACTCTAACTCAGAATAAGGCAAAGTGTAGACTCAGCAACAGCATGAGGCCCAGGGGAGAGCAAATCAGGGCAGACGTCCCAACCTGCTGGTTCTTCTCTACTAACAGTTGAAGCTTGTTCATAATGTCTTCAGCCTCCGTAGCCTCAATAATGCCAGCACTGAACGCTGATGTACACACACAGCTAAGGGTGTAGGCGAGGACCTGAGATGAAATCACAGCAGAAAAATTTTTCTTCATGATGCAAGACCAAAGAACATGGCTTGGTTGACTATCAAACTTCTCCCCAGAATATGAACTGAGTTCAAATGCATTTACCACAGATCAAGCACTGTTTTGCTGCCTGATCTGTATTAGTGTATTTCCTAACAGTGTCAGGATGGGTATCATTATTCCTACTTCTTAGATAAAGATTTGAGGCTCAATTGCATATAGCTGTCAGATAAAAGCAAGATTCAAATCCACATCTTCAGACTCTCAATAAAAAAGTTTCCTCACCACATTATGCCACAGCATAGCATCCGTCAAAAGAAGAAAAGAAATTTTTCACTAGCAGTGGATGCTATTGATTGCCATGAAAGCCATCCATGGCCCAACAGGAAGTTCAAAAAAGTGATACACATCTATGTTAAGATTCCCTGGAAAAACTGTGGATCCTGATTAGAACAAGAATGATATGGGTTGAGGAGTTAGATTAATCGTGTAAAATAGGGATTATACTATCTACTTCATTGTACTAGTGTGAAAACTTGATAAGTAAATAAATGAATAAGTAAATGAACAAATTGTATATTTATATATATGGATGTTGGAAGTAGAGACAATACTTGGGCCTATGTCCCAAATTAACCTTATACCAGCTAAGCATCTTTGAGCAAGTCACTTAACCTAAGTCTCAATTTCTGCAAATTGAAGTTAATCCTTTTCCTGCTACTGCAAATTTTCATGATAAGACCCTTCCTTATAAGGATGTTGTTAAGATAAAGTGTAAAATTCAACTCATAGCACTATTTGAAGCATGAAAATATAAGCAGTTTTCAAGGTAAAAACTAGATTATAAAACATCAAAGGAGAGGGAAAAACAAAACTGTTTGCTTAAGGTCTAATAATTCAAACTATCAAGGCAGGCATACATGTTATAAAAACCTTGGTTTCATTTATTAATTGAATTGTTTCTCAGTCACAAGATTTTCTCCTTTGTTTTGAAAAAAAAATGTACTTTTAAGTTATGCTGTATGCTACTTTAAAAATGGAAATTTAGTGCATGTCTTAGAACAAAACTTCAACCTTCTGTGCCCCAAAGAAATTCACCAATTCAACAAATCTTATTGCTGAAAGCGGAGGAGCTATGCAGGAAACACAGCAGCCATTATGCACCCATCAATAGCTCTTAGGCAGTCAAGGATAAAGTGAATCTACTCTAATGAGAGGGAGAATCTGGCCAGGCCACGAGGTCAACCCTGCTTCTCCTAGAGCAGAACACAGGCAGTGCAGCTTTACCTGGGCACAACAGAGATGGGCACAACACATGCCCAAAGCTGTCTATCTAAGCATGGTTAGCACACAAGGACTGTCCCATGAACTCAATTCTGTGTACTTTTTGTGAGATATCAGAAAAACTTTTTCATTAAGTGTGGCAAAGAGAATTTCCTCAATAAGTTTTCGTGCTGGTGGGCATTTAAAAAAACATCAAATTCCTTTCTACCATGTTGCTTGGGCACAGTTCTAAAAGCCTCCATTTAACCTTCTTCCAGAAATTGTACCTCTTCTTAGGAAGTGCCTTCTTATGATGCTAACAGGCTTCTGCATTCACTAATGGCTCTTATCTCATATGCTACATTCATGTTTAAGTTGATTTATATAGGCACACAATCTGAAAAACTCATGATCTAATATAGATGACTTGCCATTCAGATTTTTTCCCTATCACATTTGAAATTGAGAAAGAATTTAATTTACAGGGTCATCAAAATAGGAGAAGTAGAAAATGAGCACCAACAGAAAAACAAAAGAAAGGAAAGGGAAGAAAAATGGAAACTTCATCTCCTACCTCCTGAAATGTCCTGCTCTGGCTCCCCCTGTCATCTAGATATGCAGACAGCTTCCGAAGTGATGCTGCCACATGTACTCGGGATTCCATTTGGCTGCTGTGGCTCATGAGGGACAGAACAAGTCCAACTCCCAATATACAGCCGGTGCTTGAATGACAAAAAAGATGAGGAGTTAGATACAAGAAATCCATGACTGATCCTCACTTCCCATGGGAGTTTACAGTGCCTGAGGTGAGATGGCAGATTTTAATTCTTCTGCCTCATATGTAACTGTGTCCCATGATTCATGACAGGTATATTTACCTGTCCGTTCAACAGGAACTTTATATCAAAACAAGTATCCAAGATGCACTGGACAAACCACAAAAAAGACCACAAAACGGCCTGATTTAACCCCTACAATGAGGAGAGGAGAAGGCATAAAACACCTATCTATTTCTGTCCTGACAGAAATGATGTAGCCCTTTCTCCATCTGTCTATGTTGAGCATGCAATAATGATCTGCATAAGGACAGAAAAGACTAGATTTCAAACTATGAGCTGAGGACATCTGACTGACAACGGGAAATCAGTGCAAGGCATGATTAGGAGGTACTGCTAGTGCTCCATGTTTCCTAGTCAACTTCAACAAGTGGAATTTCTTTCTTAAAGAAACTGCGTATTCATCTGTGCACAATGACATTAATCCTTCTCTCCCCTCTGATCTCTCAGAGTACCACTGGGTCAGAATAGAAAATGGACAAATGACAGGCTTGTCAAAAGTTATACCATGTGACAATTCAATTGGAATCTGGGCCTTTGTGCCCCATTTCTTCTGAAAGAATACATACTATTTAAAGAAAAGAACTGTTCTCTCAGAAAACTTCAAGCTAGTATGATAACATAATGCAGCTTGTGACAATTTTTTGCTTTTTAAAGTTTTTGTTGTCATTGTTGCTGTTGAACTGGAGGAAATACTGAGTTTTTCAGATATCATCCTGGCTCTGGTTTGCCTTGCCTCTTGTCATAGTATCTGTCACTTAAGAATACATTCCAGGGCATTTCTCCAATACTATATTTCAATGTCCATATGTTATGTCATTTTTTTCTCTTAAATACTGTTTACACCCTTAGCTGGCATCAAGAAACTAATTATTTTATAAATAGAGTAGTTACTCCCCCACCACCTCTATGAAAGCAGAGCATCCTCATCTGATAGTAGACACCCAAAAGGATGGACAGACTTTCGGATTTGCTCAAGGTCACACACAGAGTTTCCAATAGAACATGACCAGAACTAGAGGACTTTGGGTCCCAGCCTTCTGCTCCACCTGCTGAGCCCGAGGCCCTTCTCAGTGCCCAACATAACACCATGATGGGATGCCCATGAGAAGGCAGCATGAAGTGTGTTTTTCATGTTTCCATTGCATAACAATCTGGCACTAAGAAGTCTTTGTAAAGAAGCTGCTGCAGTAATCGTCCATCATTAGTCAAGCAGAACTGCTGTCACAGCTTACAGGAACTTAACAAGCTCCACTGGCACAACGCATTTCCAACCAGTTAAATCAACATCTAACATCCGAGCACCGCATGCCTTGAGACAAATTGCACTTCTGAAGGAAAGACTACTTCTTGATTAGAATGGATTTAAAGTCTTTGTTTTAATTTAGAATCTACAGGCAAGTTTTTTTTCTTTTAGCTACCTTTCTATATTGATGTATTTAAACATTCGAAAAAATTAGACCAAAGATAGAATTAGAAAGAATTTGGTTAATATTTTTGACTGGTGCCTTCCCTTTGGCTATGCAATTGCTACTTATGTATAAGATTTCAAATGTTATGTCCTCAGGGATACCTTCCCTGGTCCAGTGGGAAACCTCTGTCATATTCTCCCACAGCACCCTATACTTCCACAATTTTATTTAATTTTTTAATTTTTTTTGTTTTTTTCTTTTGTTTAGCGTTACTTCCACAATTTTAAATGTAAGTTCTGATAAGGATTACTTTGGGGATTGATTTCTATCCCTCTCAAACCAGCAAGTCCCATAAGGGAGGGCACTCTTTCTGTTTTTCCTCACTACAGTATCTATGATATACAGCTTGATGCATGCAGGAGCTGAACCAATACTTACTGCGTGCTGAAGAAGTGACCGAAGTGAAGCCTTTTAAGAGGCTAGAGTACACAGAAGAACTACAGGGGGTAGAAAGGAACCAACAACAATAAAGTCATGCAAGACCTACTACCTTCAACCAAACATAGGTATCAGGTCTTGCGTGACTTCATTGTTGTTGTTTCCGTTTTACCTTATGAGTGATAAAATGCACTGAACATGTCATCTACGTATTTTTTATTTATTAGCATATTATAGTTGTGCCGTGGGTAGATTGTGACATTTATAAAAGTGCTTACAATATATCTTAGTTAGATTCACTCCCCCTTTCTCTTTAATTCTCCCTCCTCCCTTTTTAGAACAGTTTCAACAGGTCTCATTGTTCCAGTTTCACACATGAATACATAGTACTTCCACCATATTCATCCTCCTTCACCCTTTCTTTATCCCTTCCCCGCTTCTACTGGTACCTTTCTTAAGAAAGATGGATGTGACATTTGTGTGGAGAGAGGATTTCTCTCAAAGCTCACTAGTGTAAGAACTGGGATTCATCTTCTCAATAAACAGGCAACTATCTAGGTCTTGCTTTCTGAGGTATACTGGATTTAACAAAAATATCTGTACTCCAGCATCTCAAGGTACAAAGATACAAAGATACAAAGGTTTAAAAAAAAGACATCGGATTTTCTAGCTCACATTTGCCTAAAAATTATCACAGCAACTGCCATTATTTTTAGGCAAGGTTATAACTCTATTCGTGGCTACAATGTTAATTATTTGCCTGCTGTAATATATAAACATATAACCTAATTATGTACATGCATGTGGCATTGTAAATATGTTAGAGTGACATCTGTAGTTAGTAGAGTTTCCTCAGCTCATATCTTGAAATTTAGTCTTTTTTTTTCTTGTGTGGATAATCAAATGGCCTTCTCAATAGTTTCCTTCTACTTTTTCTCAGTTTTCCAGTATGTACGTAGAAGGTTTTCTTAAGCCTTTATTCCTCTTCAGTTCTACATCTTCTCCATTTTAATGTGTTTATTTTTGTCCTAAATCTTAAAGATTATCCCAGGTGATTAGCTCACCATTTCCCCACATTTACCACATTTTAGGTTCTTTTTGATATGTCTGCCAGCTCTAAGAGAAGAATAACTTGGGCAAAGGTAGATTTCACACCTTTCTGTGCACTACAAACGAGGAGTTAAAGTGTTGGTCTCTCAGAAAGATGAAATAGAAACATATTAAGATACTAAGTATAAAACTGAACCTTTGGAATTGTTAGTATAAATACCCTATAGGAATGCTAACAAATGATAAAGACAATTTGAGTTTTAAAATTCTACATCCTATTATGTCATAATTTATTTGACTCTCTATCAGAGTATATTAAAATATCACTGGTGAAAAGAAATCCTAAAAAGCTATGCAATTCTGATATTTGTGCTGTTATATCAACTGAGATATACGGACATATTTTCTAAACTAACCAGGATGAATCTTGAATCCTCTAGCTCATTGTTGGCAATGCTGAAGATTAAGTACAGGAGGCCATCTAATAATTAGTTCTAATAACAGTTAACATTTGTATAGCAATTTTCCCTTTACAAAACACTATGCAAATGTTATTGCATTTATAAAAGCTCAATAGTAATTAACCAAAGCTCAGGTCTTTGATGGATAGAGCATAGGACAGTCAGGTCTGTGAGAATTTTAATACCAAGCCCACTACCACTAGATGGCAGCAAAATGTTAGTGATAGGACCACACACTGGCCAGCCCAGGTGCTGAGCTAGCTCAGTAGGGATACATCCCCTACATCAGGGAAGCCTGGTGAATTTGCTTTGGGTGAATTCTATCACTTGAGGTAGCACACTCTCAGCTCTATTAACCACCTCCTACTAATGCTCCCACTATTTTCCACTATTTCACTGAAAGAGGACTGTCCCAAGCTCCTGCTTTCAGGACCAGACCTAGTTAGAAAAGCAGTCTCTTTTTTTTTTTTTAATGACAGGCAAAACTTGCACAACAGAAAAAAATAAATAAATAAAACACCATACTGTCAAGCATCAACTTGTTTTCTTTCTACTGAAATGTGATGACCAGCAGGGCCCAGTGGTTCAGGCCTGCAACCCTAGCTACTTGGCAGGCTTAGATAAGGAGGATAAAGGTTCCAGTCCAGCCAAGGAAAAAACTTAGCAAGACCCCATCTCATCAAACATGTGGTGATACCTGTAATCCCAGCTGCAGGGAGGCATAGATAGGAAGATCGCAGTACCAAGTCAGGCAGTGTGAAAAGCACAAAACCCTACTTGAAAAATAACCTAAAGCAAAAAAGACTGGTGGCATGGCTCAAATGGCAAAGCAAAGTAAGGCCCTGAGTTCAAACCACAGTAACACACATACACACATACACACATACAAATGTGTTCTCCAAACTGTACATCTACAGTGCATCAAGAATGAGAAAATACTAAACCTTATTGACTACAGGAATAACAAAAACTTGAAGAGGATAAAGTAAGGGCTTCTTGAAAGCCCTGAGCTTTTTAATTGGGCTTTGAGAGACAAGGAAATTTTCACTAAATGGACTGGAAGTTTCTGATGACCCAACTCTACTCTCCTCCAATGCGGGTTCTCAATGGTGTCAATATTTCAGAAAGCCTAACAAAACCACATTTTTTACCCCCACAATTCATATAGGTTAACTGAAACATTTAATGTGTAGCTAAATGTGTATATTTAGTACAATTTTTAAAAATATTCTTTTTGGATTATTTTTCTTTTTTATTAACTGCTAGAATGAGAAAATAAGTTTAAAAGTTTAGTTTAAAAGACAAAATCTTTAAAAAGCATGAAATCTGGGAGGGGGGAAAGGACCCATTATTGTTAAACAGGTTGAGAACCATGGCATAACAAGTATTTGTTTCTATTTTAATACCTCTGTCAATGGATTTACAGGGAAATATAAATCATCAAAGACTCTCTTGACCCAATCAAATTCCAATGATTTCAACAGATCCTGAAAAAGGTTAAGTCATACATCTAGGTCCCCAGATATATGCCTCATATGATAACTGAAAGACAAAACTAAGGTTTTAGTAATATAAAGACTAAACTATAAAATGATATTTGTTGCTCTGTATTTGAGCAAATTGCCTATTGCTGAAATAGGTTTTCAAAACAAGTAAGCAGTAACTGCATGTTTTTAAAAAATGATTACTGCTGAAAACTCTGCAAAAGAATTCAAGACCAGAGCCCACAAATATTTCACATAGTATGCAAGATTTACGGCAGAGTAGCAACCAATCCCTAAGTATCTACTAGCGAGGAAATGGGAACAACATACTTGTATTCAAGACTAGCATCGAAGCAGCAGTTTTCCAGGGCATCCAAAGACTTCATCAGAAGAAGGTTCATCTGTTTACCAGATATATCACTACATAACAAACCAAGGATGGGAAATAAATCATTAGTAACCATCAACTGTTCAAAATACATAGTAGAAAGAAATTTCCTATTAACATTTTACTGACAATGCTAGCATTTCATTATTAAAAACAAAAATAATAATATTGGTAACTCACAGATGCTTATTTTCTAGATAAAGAAACTGAGTTAGAGAACTTATTCAGTAATTAGGTTTCTGAAGAGTATAACGACTTATAAGCCAATAAATTCTAAAACTCCTTCTTCTAGTTTTTCTCAGCATATTCAAAATTTAAATCACTAAGAAATAAAACCAAAGTTAAAATTCCAAACATTTCTAAGAATGCAAAAGAGATTTTTCTGCAAAATATTTAATAACTTATTAAGTGATATGGTCATAATCATTTCTAACCTCTCTCTTGCAAAGATTGTCACTTTTGTCTTAATTATATAGGTTATAAATTATATTCCTTTACTTACATATTAAAGAGGTAAAAATGATAGCCCTCTATTTTATGCTTTTATGGAATAATTAGCTTTTGCAATTGGCTTAGTGAGAAAGAAGATCTTCAGTTGCAAAGTACAAATTAAAAGGTAGCTTGATAGCTGTTTCTACAGCCAGAATTGTGGCTTCTTCATTGACACTTTGTCATCCAGAGATCCCCATGTCTCAGCCTGTATGCTGCTGCCTCAGATTGCACTAGATGGAAGGCAGCCCCAGGAATGCTAGCTTCTCAAGCCAAGGCAAAAGCAAGGCCACCCAAGATGAAGGATTATTTTTGCCATTAAAGAAACACACACACACACACACATACATTTAATGGCTTTAACTAAATAAGTCCTATTGGAGTTCTTCTCTGGAATAAGATATTCTTAAATATCTAAATAAATGCCAAAAAGATCATACTTGTACCTTCTGGGAGTTATGACAGAAGCAAAAAGCTTACGATAATATACTTTCCTGATATTAGAATGTAAATTCGGAAGGCTTTGGCAAAAAATAAATAAAAAAAGATCGATTGTCATAATTCACTTCTACAAGGTGATTTTTCACTCTCTGAGAACCAATATCCTGCCCTAATTCTGTTCCCATTAAAGGGTCATTTTGGGCCATTTGTTTGATATTATTGATTGTTTAGAGTCAATAGCCATCAAAACACTTACCTTTACTTTAGCAAAAAAAAACAGACACTTTCTCCAAAGCTGTCATTTTCTGGTGACCCTGTAATTACCTAGTAAAAGATCTATTAGTACATAAATGCCATATTCCTGTGCTTCAAAAAACTGGGAAGGTGAGAGCCATGAATAATTATATCAGTGACTGCATTACTAATTATACAGAGGGCTGAAGAAGAAGAAAGCTACAAAACACAGGAATATTAGGCAACTTTAAAATCTGTAGTTATTCTGAGGTACTGAGTCATGAAAAAAGCTTCCTGGTGTCTTTGCCCAGAATTTTTTGTGGTACAAATTCAAATAAGATAGAAGTAGAAGAAAATCCAGGAAAGAGGGACAAGTGTGCTGGGGGAAGTCACCATGGGATTTTTTTCTAGGCAGCATGATTAAATTAAAACACAAATATAAGCTTGTCAGGCCTAAAACCAGCAGCTTCTCATTCTAAGTTAATGATGAAGAGAGTCAGGGCCAGGTTGGGATGAAATGAGCTGCCTAGAATTAAACTGCCAGCACTGACTCTTAGTTGTATAATACGTCACTTGAAAAAATACCGAAGAGGGAGCCTGAGCACAGATGGTAAGGAGACTGCCATTTGTAGCACAGTAACAAAGGGGGGAAACTCACTTTGAAGTCTAAGTCTTTAAAAACACTTTCTGTTCTACCACACATGAGATATGTAAAAGTTAATTCCCATATAAGGAGCATTTTTTTTTGTTTCCATCCAGAGCAGGCCTATATGCACTAATGCTAGTGAGCAGAACAAAATGAATATTCTGGGAATGATGCATTTATGATTGCAGAGTCTGAGCCGGTCATCTCAATCATCTGACAGATGTTTTCAGGAGCTGAAAATGATCATCTGAAACATACCATTTCCCCAGATCAATAGCAATTCCCATAAAAGTTTCACATATCAGTGTTTGTACAAAGTGATATAAGTTACAAACTTAACCACCAGCTTCAAACTGCAACCTACAAAAGGCATAATTTCATCCAGCTTCTTCACACTAACACCAGTTTTTGCTTTCAGACCACTAATTTCTGCCATGAGGGGAGTTTAGATATCTAACATCACAGTGGGATGTCTCCCCATTATCCTATTTCTAACACAGGAAAATGGGGTTAAATTCCAAGTCAATCAAATATATCAAATATATATTATATATATATATATATAAATATATATGATAACCAAACATTCATGTTGGATCACACTATAATCAATCTGGATAAATAAGATGCTAAGGTTTGTTATAAAGAAGAATAAACAGTATGAACAACAAAACTAAAATAGATTTATGCAAAAGAAAGCTTTTCCATTTAGTGGAATTTTCCACCTGGGTCTTTGATATTCTATTAGCTCCACTCAAGGATAAAGTCCAAAAACAAGTAATCAAACTGAATAAAGTACATAGTATAATATGAGCAGATTAAGACTCTTTAAGGATTATTAAAATGTAGCCAGGGCACAGGATAAAAGCAATATTTAAAGCTGGGTACATGCAGTTCTCAGGTGACCCAGTGACTCCCAACAAGCCTTGGGTACAAGAGATGCCCAAATCCTTTCCTTCCATTTTACAATGATATCAACTACGAAAATCCCAGCAATTATTTTCATGCATACAAATGAGAAAAAAAGCTCTTCTTTACTTATAGTACTGTAAGATTAGACTTTTGTTCATACCTATTATACAAATGTACTCAAGGCTTTCATCTAAGCATGAAATGATTTTCAAGTAATTAATCACTTGAATATCAACCATTCAAATACATGAATGTCTACATGATGGTATTTTAGACAGACAGATTCACCCATAAAGGAGAATAAGATGGGATCAACTTTCTTATCTTAAAGAGTTTCACAACCACATATTTCTCAGATACAACGTATGGAGTGTGTGTGTAAAGATGCAAAATCCTTCACAAACCACAAAGAGGAAAAGCAGGAATATTTTAATAAACCGTACCTGAGTTTCTCCTCACACAGGCGTGAGAGAAACATCCCCAAAGCAAGGCCCATGTGGATTTGCACGGCTTGAGAGTCATCAGCACTTGGTTTCCCAGGTAACCTGGCAGTCAGCATGTTCAGGATTTCCTCAACCTTCTCTTTGCAAGAGATAATGAAAACTGGCACAAGGAGAGACAAAGCCGTGGCGGCAGCAGAACGGGCAATGGCACTAGCTGTGTTTTCACCAGAATAGGATTTCTAGAGCATGCCAAAAAAAAAGAAAACGGGGTTAGCCTTTTGTTTAAAACATGAAGGAGGCATACCTGTTACAAAAGCTATGGACAACAATATAAGCTTCTCTAAATCTGCTTCCACAGCCCCCTCAAACTAAATGTGTTTCCTAGTTTTGTTTTCCCTTGATGAAACAATTTGCTACTAAATAGCCAATTAACTACTAATGTCCTTTTAAATTTGAAAAAGAAAATAAGTATCTTATGTTTAAAGGTTATGAATTCTCTTACTTCAAAGACTGAAAGAATTTCAGTGTTTTTAAAAGCTCACATATATATATATATATATATATATATATAGAGAGAGAGAGAGAGAGAGAGAGAGAGAGAGAGAGAGAGAGAAATAAGTGAAACTACCTGAACCTCAACAAGCCACCAAGCTACATTATAAATGTCCAGAAAGGAGTTTTCCAGGAAAGAAAGGAAAAGGGGCTTAAGTTTAATATAGAGAAACAAGTGCAAGTTTAGCACAAAGATCTACTGGCACATTTCCCAAAATTTTTGGTGGGAACACTTCCCAATAGATGGATTATTTCCTACAGGGGGTTAATTCTTTTTAATTAAAAAGGAAGTTGAAATCCTAAAAGCCTCTAGTTACAAAGCAATAACCAGCTATTCAAAATGAAATGGAGAGCTCTATATACTACTTCCTATATATAATTATGGGAAAAGAGATGAATAACAATCCTAGTAAAATGACAGGGCAGCTGAACATGAACAGCTTCTATAAGAATCCCATGTTAGAGAGCTCAAGTAGTACTCTATGTACATCCATACATGGGTCTCATGTGAAGACGAAAGCCTGTTTATCATTCCTCACTATTATCCATTTTAATCTTCAGACACAGCATAAAGATGGCAGCCCTGGCAATCAGAGCACACTAAAATGTGTTTTTAATCCCATGCCTACACACTCTCGAAACTCTAGTATTTTAAGGATAAAAATCAAGCATGTACTAAGTTACACTCTAAGTTAATACAGCACTCTCTAAATGAGAATGTTACTCAAAATGATTCTGCTGCAGGGATACAGGAAGCGACTTTTGAAACAGAGCTTTGAAAACTGTACTAATGTAAATCACGAAGGTAAGAAGAAACTGAGCTGGCTAGTGAAGAGGTTTTCTTACTGGTTTGCAAGCACAAAGAAGAATTATGAGAAATGTCACACAATGTCCTATTCCCATGAATGTCTGAACTGAATAGCTACTGCAAAGACTTCATAGAAGCTTCTAAACAAGTTAAGCAAATCAGCATAAAGAAATTACTTCTTTGAGCAAAATCTACTTCTAATTTGATTCTACATTATCTGGTAAGTAATTTTTTTGTTCTCAAATATGGCTAAAAATCTAACATTTAGACTCTATGTCTCAGATGAATACATACCAGTCCTCCCACAGCAGGAAGATAGAAGCACACACAATGTACAGAGAAGACCACAGGCAAAGGATTTCAGGCTAAATTTGTTATTTTAGCAACAGTTCAGGACCTGGGCTATATTTTTATTCAAGTCAACTATAATCCTCTGCCACTCAGCTGACTGTCCCATGATCACTATAATTCCCTAAGCAATGGATACTGATAGGATAGAACCAAAATAATTCTGTACACATGTAGAAATAAAACACATGCTACAACCAATAAAAGGAAAATTAAAGAAAAAAGTATGTATTCAGTTTCTTCAAGTATCAGAATACAAGCATGAAGACAGAAAATGACTGTGGGTAACAGGTGCACTTTTATGACCAGAAACATTACTTTGCATTTAGAGTATTTCACTATTTTCAAAACACTTTTACATGGCTTAAATATACTGATTCTCATAGCCTTTAAGAAAGTCGGCAAAGCATTGTTTATTACTTTTGTTTCATCAGTAAAGAAAGCAAGAGTTGAATGTTAAGTCAACGGCCACGAAACTAGTAAAGATCAGACGTAGGGCTTCAAAAATTGAAGAGAATATTATTCAACTCTCACCTTTTATAAATAAGAACAATAAGGTCCAAAGAGATTAAGAGAATTACTCATGACCTATTACACATATCCTAAAATGGACCGATTATGACTTGAAACTCTGAGTAACTACAATTTCAGCTAATGATTATTCTACTATTAACTGCAGTTCATGACCCTGACTACAAATCAGAAAAATCTAGAGTTTTCAAACTGCTGATTCCCAGGGCACATCCCAGAACATCAAGTTAGGGGTGGAGCCTACAAGTCATGTAGGTTTCCCAGATAACTAACTTACAACCAGAGCTGAAAATGAGAATTCCTTGAGAACAACTGGAGTTAGAACTGGCAACCCTCAGCTTTTCTGACATATATATATATGTATATATATATGTGTGTGTGTGTATATATATATATATATATTTTTTTTTTTTTTTTAAATTTTTGGCAGTGCAGGGGTTTAACTCAGGAACTTGCACTTGCTATTCAGGTACTAGACCCCTTGAGCTACTCTACCAGCTCTTTTTGCATTGATTATTTTTGAGATGGGGAAGTCTTGCTTTATACCCAGACCAGCTGGGACCTATTTGTGCTTCTCCATGTAGCTGGGATGACAAGCATGTGCCACTGCACCCAGCCACTGGTTTAGATGGTGGTCTCACCAACTTTTTGCCTGGGCTGACATTGAACCACAGTCTTCTTGATCTCTGCCTCACAAGTATTAGGATTACAGGTTTGAGTCATCACATTTGGCCTTTCTGGTCATTTTTTATTTCTCACACTTACATGATAAAAGCAGGAGAAGAGTTGTCCTCTGGTTTGGTAATGGTTATCCACAATGACTAGGAGAGTATCAAGCACCATGGAAACCCACTCTTTCATTGGAAGGAAATTAGGTTGAGCCTACAGATGAATAACAACATGAAATAATAACAGAAAAAAGAAAATAAGTCTAAACATGGTTTTGACACCCAGAGTACAACCCCCTTTTGTATTAAACACTAAAAAGCTATTACCAAAAAGGAAACTTCATCTGCTTGGATTATACAAGATGAACAGATATTTGACAAAAAGCACATTCTTACCTATGCCCCAATAAGAGTAAGATTTATTTTTTATACAAGATGTAGCAGAAGTGGGATAGGAGCTACAAAACAACACATCCAAAACCCAACAGCTCTCCTCTATTCAATGAATTATGGTGGCAATAATGTGATAGAGAGAAAGAGAGAGAGAGAGAGAGAGAGATGCAAAGAAAACAATTTAAATTCTCTCACTTTTATACTTGCCATTTCACAAAGGAGGCAATCAGCCTACAATAGTTTGATCAACTCTAGTATTTTTGTTTACCATTATCATATAGTTATCCTTTAAGAAAACCTAGCTGACTGAGAAATTCTAACTCCATTCATTAAACAAAAACTTGGTTATAAAAATCATTCATCCCACAGGTGTCAATTGCATTTAGTAATTCACATGGTACTCAATAGTGAGTATCTCCTTGGAATTTAGTTTCTTGAATCAAACAAGGCCTTCATCTTAAGATTTTTAGCTGTTTGTCACATACTTATTTGAATGAAGTTTGACAAATTTCAACTTCAATCAAATAATGAGATCATGAGTTTGTATTGAGCAAAGCAAAGTTATCAAGAATAAAATCAAGCCCTGTCTTTAGGCTGAATGGTTTGAAGTGTACAGAGTGGAAGTGTGTATGGGGATGCGGGGAGAGGGGGGTGGGGGGGTGGGGGGGGTGGCAGTAAAGAAGAACAAGAGAGCCTAGAACTCAATCTTTAATGCACGCCCCCAGTTATTACAGGGCTAATTAACTGTACAACTGTTAATTCAGCATAATTAACACCACAATGAAGAGATCACAGGAAAGGACCTTAACTTTTTTAGGTTGTAAATCTCTTTGGCAGGTGGCCTCTGATAATGCAGGCCATGGCTCTTTCAAGGAAATGAAATGCATCCTCTAAAATTTTTTAATCTTTCTCATCATTAAAATAAGACTCTGGGTTCAAAGCTAAATATTCTTATGCTAACTAATGATACTTTTATCATTCATAGAACAATCTCCTCTATGTGTAAAGTACACTTGCAGCTCTTGTCCATACTGCCTATTCTCTTGCTTATTGGTAATAGCACCCTGCAGGAAATTCCAACTTTGAATATGAAGATTGCTTAAATTCTCAATGAAGCAGCCTGTCCTACTCTATCCAAGGGGTGGACATAGGACATAGTGTCTCTAAATTTTAAGTGGTTGGTTCAAGGACAATGAATGATTGGAGTTTATCTACCCAAATGGGGTGGTCTCCTGAGATATTTCATTAATATCTGTAAAATGGACTCCCTAACTACCTTGTTCCTGCTATCCCAAGACTCAGCCTTTAAAGCTTTTAAGCTTCTGGATTACATATCCTTCCAGTTCCTTTTTTATTTAAATAAGTCAGAGTTGATTTCTTTGTAGCCAAAAATACCATGAAGTGAGAGTATGAATAGCCCATGAGTCTCTAAGACAGAGACAGGCTGAATAATGCTGAATAAAGTCTCAACTTCCAGAGCAAGCTGTGATAAAGTAGATGCACATGCTAAACATAGTCATGATTTGAGAAATTTGTATTTGCCAGCTGCTGTGTGTTACATGTACTAATTCATTTAATGCTTGCTATAGTGCAATTTGGTAAGTATCGCTATCCCCATTTTACAGATGGGGAAACAGGCTCTGAAAGAGATTACTAGAAATAGGCCAGTGAGCTAATGAGTTGAAGCAGTAAGATTTAAACATAGGACTCTCTTATTCCAAAGCCCATGCTTTTTAACCACTCAGCTACTTCATCTCCAGATAATAGGAGCTACCAGATAATGGAGCTTTCAATAAGAACAAATCTGTGCCTTTTTATTTTGACAGATATGAATTATCTGAGAAAGTACATTGGAAATGAACATTGGCTAGCTTGCCACATGTTTAATTAAGAAATAAATGGCGTGCAAAAATGAATAGGCACTTTATCCTTGACATCTACAATTAAAATGCAAAGTACATTTTTTTCAATCTGTAAACACTGCTTATTTATCATTTTTGACAGCATTGTTCACTTTCAGTAAGCCTAGTTAACCTCCTAAGATTGGTTACCACTGATGTAATCACAAAAAGACAACCCCTGTTGCATAAAATTGGCACCTTCAAATGGAAATGACCACTTAACTGTGATGGAGAAGGCAAAACAGAAAAGCAGCAAACAAAAGTCAGGAAGACAGTGTGAAGGCTCATCAAGTAGCAGAAATTGGGTGCTGCACTCACAGAATTTAATCTTGTAAATCTAGGGCCAGCTCATCAAAAACCAGGCTTAAAGAGACATGACTAACGCCCACCTAGCTTAAATCACCGTAACTCACCTCCAGGACCCCATCAGAGTCTGAGGAGAGGCTGGCTTCATGTTTGGATACGATGACGGCAAGGCTGCTTAGGGCTAACAGCGCATTGCCTTTGACCACTGGACTCTCCCTGTTTTAAAAGAAAAAGATTTCAAGAGAGGACTTAGGGGCATTAACCAAGAGAAGGGAAGACGCTATCATGGGAGGACAGAAGAGATGAAAAGCACTTCTATTCCTGCACAAAGCTCATAAATGTAAATATGCTTGTTCCAGATGTCAATTTCTCTCCTTATAATAGTGCTGATTTGTAACTCTTCTTACCAATGTATGATCACAGTGACTTTCTACAACTTAAAGATTCAAGCTCATATTTCTAATTTCTGCCTTCCAAAAAATTTTATTCCACTGTTCGACTTGGCAGTTCCCAAGCTATCTTCTTCTATGTCATCTTTGGCCAATTTAATTCTATCGATTTGTTCTGAAAACACAACCAAGGACCTTTACGTGAATAAGCCCAGAAGATTGGAATGGCCTCTGGCTTTTCTGAAGCACTGGTATGTGGAACCAGCTTCTTGTGAACCACTTCAGACAGCATTTTCCTTACACGTTGACACATGGCAGCTTCCCTCAGTCATTACTATCATCTCCTTCTTTGTCTTAGCATGCCAAAGCCAGCAACTTTAAAGACACTTTGTGATACAATTTGAAGATTCCAAGTAAGATACAAAAAGAAAAACTTGTTTACAGACTATTTGGATCATGTTATATCACCTAAATTATTAGTTTTCTAATATTAGTAACAAAAATTTTATCTTTGACTTCAGAATCAAGATAACTAAATATTTTTCATATATATTTAGCACTTGACAATGTGCACTTAGTATTATTCTACAATCCCACATTGATCCTATAAAAGAAAGTAACAAATGAGACTCTAACAAGTTCTTGTTGGCTTGTCAATTGTCATAATGGAGCTCAGGCAACTGAGCATCCATCCAAAGACTTCTGTTCTCAGGCTTATGATTGTGCATCACCATAAATACAGAGAATGTTCCCTAAAACCTACTCTTGAGAACTGAACTGGAGTTCATTATATGCCTTCAAGAACCACTCTCTGCTTATTCCAGTGCAGGACTAGGATATAAACCTGGGATGGGGAGGATTTTTGGTCCTGCTCCTGTGCAAGCATTGTACCTTCATCCAGATCCAATCCACAGACACAGCCGAACAGGTGAGCCCATGGGTGTTAAAATGTTACTGTGCACATGTGTTCATATCTATTTATTAAGAATGGGATTCTGGACCTGCCATTATAAAGTCCTTCCATTCATCTATTCAACTGCCCTTTCCCTCTCTCCCTCTAACCTTAGGGTGGTTCAACTCAATGAAAATCTGCTCTTCATGCTTGCTCATCTTGTTCAATCTTCTTTAGTTCATTCTTCTGTGAGGTCTGTCATAAGCTAGTAAGAAATCAACACTCATATTGAGGATGAATGGGAGAGAAAATTGGAAGGAAGCCTTGAGGTCTAAGAAGACAGTTCCAACCTAGATTTTGGGTTACTGAGTATTTATTTAGCTATAATAAAATGCCATGAAGCATGGTAGGATTTAGACCATAAAATTATTTCACAAAAGCAAAACTAAATACTTATCTTTAATACAGGTTGAGCAATGATGCTCAAAATATCTCACATTTTGGAGGATTGTGAATTGTGGATTTTTAGATTAGGGAGGCTAAGTTGGCAAAGCCTATATAATATTTCAAAAATTGAAAAGCACTAAGATCTGAAGTACTTCTGGTCTCAAGCATTTTGGATTAGGAGTACTCACATTGTATTATTGATTTATTGATTTATTTCTCTTTTGGGAAGGTAGTACTGGGGTTTGAACTCAGCTCAGGGCTTTGTGTTTGCTAGGCAGGTATTCTACCACTTGAGACATGTTCTCAGCCCCTTTTTTGCTTTAGTTATTTTTCATATAGGTCTCAGGCTTTTTACCAAAGATGGACCTTGGACAGAGATCCTCCTATCTATGCTCCTGGATAGCTGGGATTACAGATATCTACCACAATGTCTGGCTTGCTTGCTGACATAGTGTTTCCCTAACTTTTTGCTACAGACGCCTGGAAATGTGATCCTCCAAATGTTTGCCTCCCTATTTCTTTCTTTGAAATGTAAATATCCTGAGGCCTCTCTTGGTACAAAATGGCTATGAATCCTTAAGGTTGGGAAATTTAGGGACTTAAGAAATAGTTTTAAATTTAGTTTAAAAAATAGGTTTAAGTTCTCAGTGGTCTGATAATTAGTTTGCCAATTTACATCACCATGCCGAAAACACAGTCACCTGAAATTGCACATCAAATCTCTAAACAAAGATGCTACACAAGATGACATCAAAAGCATCCTTCCAGCCCTGAAATTTGAGAAAGAATTGAGCCCCAGTTTTAAAACGCTGCTCCAAATCATTTTATTTCAAAAGTTCTACTGGTCTTGACACACCTGAGCACGTATTGCTGAAAAATGGATGAAAATGCATTTAAAGCCATTTAAAGCATTTAGATCTCTGGATGCAGGCTGAACACTGGACATTAATCTTTATATAGCAAAAAACTGTTCTACAGTCCACATATTGTGTACTTCACAAAGGTATCATGACTAGCTCTTGATTATCTTTTCATTCTCTACATGCCAAGAATAGTGAGCAACTTTTGAAGAGCATGCACTCAATACATATTTAGTGAAACAAATCTGAGGAGGAGCTGGCCAGCAAAAATCTACAACTGTAGCATAAAAATTTATCCCCTTGTTACTCAAATAACCCTCCCCTACCAGTCAAACAGCAGTGACTAATTTGCATAATAACATGTCAGCATCAGTACAGTATTTATCTAGGCAGCACCACTGACATTTTAATTAAATTGTCCTTTGGAACAAACTGATGTCATTAACCTAATTAAAAAGCACAAGAAGGATGAGCCTCAATGATGCTTTCTTAGGGACAAAGTATTATATTACATATTAGCAAAGTGACCCAATCTTTTGGGGATTTTTGTCTTCAGGTTCAAATCAATTTAATTAGTAACAATAAAAACAAATTTCCATCCATCATTAGGTCTATGTTCTGATTCTTCATTATGCCTAACCCTAATGCTTGAAAAATGGTCTCAAGTGCACACGTCAGTTTAACCCCATGACTTGTGTTTTACTTCCTGCATTTAATATAAGACTATGCATAAAATAAGTCCTTCTCTGGTCCAAAATGGCCAGTGATAGTCATGGTCCAAGAACTGAAAGCTAAGCTGTCAGAGGGTTGTGGTGAGCTCTTCACCTGCTTGGAGGAAGACAATGGAAATAAACAAAAAGAGGGTAGTAGCTACTTTTTCCCCCAGCACTCTCATTTATCTCTCTGCCTCTGAACTTTAAAATAACACCTATTTGCTTTCTGTCATGCCTACTATTATCAGGATTGATTTAATAAGACTGGGTTAAAAAATACTTTGAAATTTTTGATGAAAAAGTAGCAATGGCATAAGAACATGAATTATCTTTAGTCCACACTACTTCAGAATTTGAGCACATTCAGATCATTAGTAATGCCTCACACCTGAAGTTAAGTCATGGAGAAATAAAATTTCAGAATGGAAAGTGTAAAAGCTACCAAAGAGGTAAGATTATAGTTTGTTTTCATAGAAAGCTGCTAGCTTCTTCAGCATTCAAGCATTTTACTACAAATGTCAAAGCACAGGTTTCAACAGGATATTAGTCGACCAAATAACTCTATATAGCCCCCTCCCCCCAAACATGCATCTCTGGAAACTTGCCCACTGGTCTGCAATCCACCAAACCAGAAAAGCAGGTGTGAATGTTTCTAAGGAAGTCTCTCTAAGTTCCATTCCATCCTGTCAACAGCTATATCTACAGATATTTCCTAGTGCTCCCCACCAAGAAAATGAGAACAGAGGAGGACTGTCATTGCTCTTTTCGTTTATTCAGAAGACATGACTGAGTAGTGACCCTAGGCTGAGGTCACACATCACAGTTAATTGACTGCTTAGGAAACTACTGGTAGAATGCTAGCACAAAGGCACACCGTAGTTTTATTTCTTCGGTTTGCTCTTCCTAAAGCAAAACCTGCTTAGCTACAGAAAGTACTGGGATATGATAAGGAGGAAACTTACAGCAATTTGGTATTTCCACATGATATGGACTTTCAGTACACATGCAACCCTCAAGGTCAAAGGTGTGCCTATGTTATTTGGAAGCTAAGAAATAAGGAAGTCAAACAAATGGCAACAGTTAAAGGTGATGGTAGAAGGGAGAAGTGAATATAAGTGACAGAACTGCCAGGAACAATTAGTGAGCCTGTTAACCAAGGAGCCTGATGAGATAGTTCTAGCAAGTTCATTAGGGTACAGTTTTCTTGGAGAGCATTGGCTTAAGGTAAATAAAAAGTCTCAAGGCAGTTCCACTCCAGTAATTTTTGTTAAAACAACCATAAGGATATGACTGAAACTGCATTTTTACTGGGCCTTTGCATTCGTGTTGAGTATATAAAATTCAGTTTTGAGATACACTGGACTCGAACACACAGGAAATGAAAGGAAGTACTACTTTGATTTGTTTGTTGTTTTGCAGTTCAGATTTAATCTATCTGCAGACTCCACATAACTCACATTCTTAAGAATTTATTTTTTCCCCTTTGAACTAAATTATAATCCTTTACATTGAAGCCAAAGCACATGGCATTTTGTTAAGTTACAACCTCAGTGACTCAAGATGTAAAGTCATGCATTTGCAGCATATATAGCAAGAATTAACTTAATATAAGAAAGGGTAGCAACCGATTTTTTTTAAAAAAAAAGAGTAATCAAAAAGTACTTTACAGTCCTTAAAGTTATGAAATGCTCCAAAAGGAGGAACTACATGTACCTGCCAGGAAATAAAAGTTTAATTTAAAAAAAAACTAAAGTAAAAGAATAAATGACTCTTACTTTGCAGCTGTCTTGGTGATCTCATCAGTCAACATGTCTCTGACCCTGCAATAAAGATGGAAAATAGACATGAATTTACGTGAGAGCAAGAACACAATTTTTTTTCTTACTCTCCAACTAATAAGAACCTCTGGCAATGACTTCAACTCTTAGTATAACCTTGATGCAAGGAAAAAAATCTGTAATAAGGTTTTACTTCAAAGACAGCTATATCTTCCATTTCATTGGGTCATTTAGTGGAGGTGAGAAAGGAGGGATTGCAGGCAGCATTATGAGTGTCATCTCAAACTGAGTGGTGGCTATACAGGTGTCCTTTATCTCCTGCTCTGAATGCTGTCTAATCCCCAAATTCATATGTCGAAATCCTAGTCCTCAATGTCGTAGTAATGGAAAGTGGAGCTCTCATTAATGGGATTAGTGGCCTTATAAGAACAGACAAGAAAGCTTGCTTCCTCTCTTTTTAGTCTCTCCCATATTAGCATTCATTGTAAAGATAGGCCATCTGCAAACAGGACTTGGGCCCTCATCAGATACCAAATACACGGGGTACTTGATCTCTGATTCTCAGATTCCAGAACTGTGAGGAAGAAATTTCTTTTCATTAAGCTACCTAGTCTACAGTATTTCTGATATGGTAGCCAAATCGACTATGATACCCTTTATCTCTTTTTTGCACAAGAGCTCATCGAAACATCAACTTACAATTTCCAAGTCATACATGTGGAATAGTCACTGCCTGTATATACAATTGCAATTTTTGGTTATGTAATCAGACCAAAGCCAAAAGAAGATAATGATACCGGTAGATTGAAAGGCAGATATGCTCAATTAAAATATTCACAGAATATATTTTTTTCCAATATAGAACCCTTGAGATAAAGTGAAAAACAAACACTGGCTTCCAAGTTCACATTTTGTTTTTTTTAATTTAATTTATTTTATTTTAGTATTATTTTATTTATTTTACATTTACTTACATGTGTATATATTATTTGGCCACCTCCCCACTTCCCCCAAGTTCACATTTTAAAAGGATAATTTTCAATATATGTACTTTGAAATTTATAAATTCAAAGTTTTCATAAATATAAATTTTAGTATTCAAATATGAATTATATTTACATTCATAAATGTTTGCATTTTACACACAAAAAAACTTAGCCACTTGGCACTCCCTGAGAACAAGTCGTTCATAAAAACTATGTTTTTCAGATAGTTTCACATGGCTCCTAAAAACCATAAATGATTTTAAAATGATTTGACAATAAATTTCTCTAAAATGTATTGTCCAATTTCTGCCTTCCTAGGTGAAGCTTAGTGCATCCCCTGTAATCTTTCATTGGTCAGTATATATTCACCATATTTACAAATGGTGACTGTCCACAATTCTATCTAGAACCAAACCTTTCTCTTGTGCACTAGAGCTCCCTCTCTATTCCCTTCTCTCTGCTGCATCACCAATTTTTCATTCCCTACTTGCATGTAGAACTATCATAGCATCTAGAAGAAGAAAAAGCCCTCCAAATACTGTCCCATTTCTCTACCTCATATATATCAAAACTTCTTTAGAAGAATATTATCTATACCTGCTAATTCTAGTTCATCTCCTTCAGCTCCCTCTGAGCCCTTCTACAATCTGGCTTTTATCTCCACAACTCCACCAAAATAACTCCTGTCATGGTAATCAATGACTTGCAAGAGGTTAACTCTAATGCTTTATTCCTAATCTTCATCCTTGGCATTTGGCACAATTGGTCACTCTTTTCTTAGAAGACTTTCTTTCCTTTGCTTTAGAGATTCCACACTCTTGGTTCTCTTCCTATATATTGATTACTAATTTTCTGTCTACTTTATTGAGTCCCTCTTCATCTTTCCCTTCTATAAATGCTGAAGTGTTACAGGGCTCAACCCTCTGAAATTTTCTTTCTTTACTCACTTACTAGGTGCTCTTATCAGCATGATTTTTAATGCCATCAATATGCTAACAATTCCCAAATTTATATCCGCAGCCTTGATTTCTTTGTAGAACTCTAGACTCAGTCAACAACCTACTTGGTTGATATCCCAACTTGGAAGTCTAATTAGGCATCTCAGCTCTAACAAATCTAAAATCTGATTCTTTCCCTATGGTGACCTGCTTTTCTTCTATCATTCCTATCTTAGTATGGGAACACCATACTTTTAGTCAGTCAAAATCTTGGAGTTATCTTTGGATTTCTCTCATATCCTTCATCTATCTTTCACTCGTAACCTTTATTTAAGTTAATAATTTAAACCTATGGAATTTTAAACCAAAGGAATCTGCCTTTGAAATAGATTCAAATTTTATTTACTTCTCAGTACTTCTACTGCTAGCACCTTAGTCCAAACTCTGCCATCTTTTGCCTGAACAATTTTATTACAATGACTCCTGATCATTTCCCTCAGGAAAAGTTCTCCCTTGGAGAACAAGGATGAGGGGTTGTTCACTGCTGTTGTTCTATGTTCAGAACAAAGCCTGGCATGTTACAGACCCTCAATAAATAAATTTTGAAATAGTATATTTAAAATGTCCTTATGTGCATTTGGGATTCTGTTCCAATTAAGTGAGTTGCTAAAGAGCTCACTTCAAAGTAGCCTGATTCCTTCTTCATCTTCCCCCTCTATAAATGCTGAAGTGTTCCAGGATTCAATTCTCTGAAATTTTCAAACTTTCTAGTTTTATATTATTCTTAAGAAACTTCTAGGAACTTATCTGTCTTATTCTCACATACAGATCATGATACAGATCATCAGGGACTTTTATCCATAGGTCTCTTTATGTATTTTAGAATGCAGTAAATATACAATTCCCACCAATCTATCACTTTCAGAAGATGAAAGCAAAATCAGATGCCAAAGATATGAGCAAATAAGAAATGAAACCCAAATTCTTAATATCTAATCTTAAATCCAATATCAAAATATTTAAACTACATTGCTATTTTTATAAATCTAGAAAATACAACTTGTAATAGAATTAATTAAATATACACAGATTTAACTTTTCTACAAATCAAGAAATTTTCAGATATGTTTTTTAGATTAAAGCAACCTGTGATTGTCAACAGTTATTTAGGCTCTGGACACTAAACTTACATGTAGGCTGCTGAAACAATTAAGCTGACACAGTATTCTTACCAGTCTATATAACAATTTAAGTTGCTTTTCATGTCCCAGCACTTATACATTTCTAGTTAATATAGTGGTAATACCCTACAGAGTGTCTGCTATTGAAATTAAAGGCCTGACATGGTAAAGTTGCTCCTAATAATGAAGAGGTCTTGTGGAAGGATGAGCAAAGGAGAGAAGGAGTGGAGTAGTTCTTCACTAAATGTGAGGCGGGACAGCTATGAAATGAGTGGGAAAAACCAGAATTTTTTGTTCAAAGGCATATAAAATCATCAGTTGTAAGGTGCAAAGGGGGGAAAAACAAACTATTTCCACACTGTATTAAGAATACACACCCACACACACACATTTATATACAGTCAGCCCTCTGTATCCATGGGTTGTAAATCCATAGATACACAACCAACCATGGATTAAAAATATTCAGAAAAAGTAATTGTGTGGACTGAATATAGACAGACGTTTTTCTTGTCATTATTACCTAATGAGCAGATTGTAACAACTATAAACATAGCATTTACATGGTATAAGGTATCATAAACAACCTAGAGATGGCTTAAAATATATGGGAGTATGTGCAGAGGTTATATGCATATACTATGCTATTTTATATAAGGAACTTATGGATCCATGAATTTTGATATCTGTCATGGTTCCTGGAATCAATTCCCTATGGATACTGAGAGGTGATTATGTAATTTATGAATAAAGTTCTCCCTATTATATTTAGGGATTCGGTAAAAATATATGTATTAGATCTTCTATGGTTTTCAATTCAGGCTCATGCAGAAGGTAAAGTCACCAACATCAAAGCCTTTAAAGCAGTTGCCATTCCCTTTATCACTCATTTCCCATGGCAATGATGAGCAGCAGAACACCATCCACTTACCAAAGCCAGGCTGTGCAGCTTTTGTATTGTACCTCTTCAGGTCCTTCTTTTCCATGTTTTAACTGCAGCTCTAGCTCTCCTATTCTTCCCTGCAAACAACACAGCAAAAATCAGCATGTGAACTCGATCCAGAATGAACTGAAAATTTCTTTGGGAAACAGACCCTTTCCCAGTTGATTATAATATTCTGATAGGATATGAGATCATGGGAGAGGATGAGTAAGGAGAAAAAGTCATATTAGTGCTCAGGTATTTCTGCATTCACCAGAGGTACATCTTGAAGAGCTTGTATGATTGGCAAATGTAGTACACAGAACTTCATTTAGGGATAGCTATTAAAGCAGATTTGAATTTCATGGGTCCCCTTTGAAATGTCCCCTATATGGTAATGATTTGACTTTGTCAGCAATTGATCATTTTTAGCTGACAGTGTATGAAGATTGGGGTTGGGCATTAGTATTATAACAGATTGGTAGAAAATGAGTTAGATGAGAAGTCACACTTAAGATCCATATGACATGTAACAAAAGCTATTCAGAATCAGCTTCACACTACATTTCTATTTCTTGAGTGAACTTACAAAAACAGATACCATAGTTCTTGACTTCCACAATGTAACAAAAATATAGCTAATATTGTCTCTTTAAGACTTTCAAATGCTTATTATCCTTTCCATTATTTCACACTCAAGGTTATTGGGATCAGTTATTTCCCCCTTTACTCTATCACCAATTATGCTATTTAACTGTAATTAAAATACTAATTTATTGATGGATCCTAAATTAGACAAGGATTCACATTTTGTCCTTCTTCCCCCCTTCTTTCCTTCCTTCTTTCTTTGTTTTCTGTGAGTATTCACATTTTATGTAAGAACACAGAGTAATGCCTAACCATTTTCAGAAGTAGTCTGCTGGTTTGCATTTTCATTAGCAGTGATCCTTATATCTAGCACAACTTGTAGCACACAGTACCCTGCTCACCTGTTCAGGCACTTCCATATTTGGTGGGCACTCTACACAGTTTATTTATTACAATCATATTTGTCCTTATCTCCATATTTTAAAAGAGAAAACCTGGCTCTTTTATTCTCCCCTCTGTCTTTTGGAAGGAAGTATCATAAATGACCAAACTAAAAATATTAATATTAATATTTAACAATTATATTGGCCTCCTCAAGAGGGCAGGGGAAGTAAAAGAGAATATTTTTATTGCCAATCTCTGCTAGTTGTGCTTCTTAAATTATGCCCATTTATTCCCAAGACATCTATTTCATATAATGATTTTCCAAAAAAAAGGAACAAGAAATTAGATGGTTAAAAACCTGGAAGTATGCAAGCATAAGAAATCCAGAATATGTGCAGATTCCTAAGAAGGCCAACTTTTCTAATCTTCCCTGTAGTCACAAACCAGTACAACCATTCTATTGTGACTTAGTAAGTTTCATATTTTTCTTTCTCAGAGCTTCTTTCTGGAATGTCTCCCTACCTTCTTCTACCCAGTCTGTGTTAGGTTACTTATCCAGATCCAATTAGCCTATTTCCAGCAGCATTCAACAAAGTCATCTCTACTTCTGACAAAGAGGAGGAAATGGGGAGAGAACAGGCTGAAATGATAACCTGAACTGAGATTTTTGGATTGACTATTAATTCCACCTAGTACTCTATCCATTCCTCTTAATTTTTGTCTCTAGCGTATATCACCAAGAGCTTGCTGATTATAGTGAGCAATTTCACCCAGTTCTTCAGTGTACATTAAAAATAAATAATAGGGGTTAGGGATATAGCTGACTGGTAGAATATGCTTGGCATGTGCAAGGCCCTGATTTCAATCCCCAGCACCAGTAATGCAAATAATATAACAAAAAAGAAAAAAATCTTTCAACCGTCAAAGAGCTATATATTAGCGGGTCTCAGTTACTGACCTTGACTTTGATTTCAGACTGTTTTGTGGCTAGTTGATCAAGAGATGAGTGGCTATAGTCAATCTGCTTTCATCCCTGTCTGCTGTTTGAGGTTATACTCACAATTCCAAAGAGACTATTTCACAGAGGCTGGAGACATGAACTTGCTCAGCATCACAGAAGGGATGGTAAACAAGGTAAAGGAGACCTTAGAAAGTTTCTTACCGAGATGGTCTTTGAAGAGTCAATCAGTTCGCATCTGCATTTTTCATCTTGATGGGAAAATATCCATATACTTCCCATAAGTCAACCACACTGATAATACTTCTAATTAAAAATCCCATGTTTCTGTGGAAATGTTAAGATAAGGCTGGAAGCAGATGGCTAAGCCTGAAGCCTTAGTTTTTACTGAAGCCCTTCAGTTTTACTTCTTTTGTCACTAATTGTCAATGCCACTGGACTTAATAGAAATCCAAAGTAAAGAGATCTTAAAAGACAAAAAAAATGTGCTATCACTAAAACAATAGAAAAGTAGAATCACAGGCCTGTATTCTAAAAATCAGTCACCAGACTTTTCATAAATACATCTGTCCTTTAAAATATTAAACCAATTTGCATTATTTATTACTACAACTAATGATAGTGTTAGTGAAAATATGTGATACAGAAGAAAAGGCTGAGGCTATGGAGTCCAACAAATCCTAGTTAAGTTCCAATTCATTTACTAACTACTGGGTTTTGAGCCATTTGCTTCCCCCATCTATAATCTAATTATTCATGGGTTTAAAAACACACACTTCAATGGGTCTTTGTAAAGATTAAGTGAAATAATATATGTTAAGTGTTGGATACACACTAATTATTCAATAAATGTAGCTCTGATGGGAAAAATGGAGTTTTTTTTTTTTTAATCAACTGCAAATCATCTGTAAGAATTACACCATAATATATTCAGTTCAGCCTTTCTTACACTAAGGGCTAAATAAAATTCTTCACTCTTCAGGAGGAACTATTATTACCTTCTCCAGGTAGGGAACATCCGTTCCCTCTTTTCTTAGAACCACTGAAGATGTTGTACTGGGATTGCTACTGGAAATGTTATCCTCCCTCACTGAACTGAGAAATCACTAGCTGGGAGGAGTGCTTTATTCTCCTTTGCATCCCATGCACTCAGCACTGGGCCTTCGCCATAAACGTTTGGTGAAGGAAAACACTAAAAAACTACTGCAGGAAGCAGGAATGTGAGGAAATGAGCATCCTAACCTGCAATCTCACCCTTCTTGAATAAAAACTAGAACTAGCCATGGTTGTGTATAGTGATGTTAAAGAAACATGTAGAGACAGGTTTAATTCATTTATTTACTCACAAAAATTACTCAAAATAGACACTACTAGGCTGAAATCAGAATAAAATAATGATGAGCAAAAGAAAATAGGGATTCCAAAGAAGCATCTTTGAAATGCAGATTACAGCACATTTGGGGGAACATCTGAAACAGTGTTGTTCAAAGTGAGGCTAGACTAATTGCATTAAGCACACCTGGTGGCTTATAAAACCTGGAGGTTCCTGGTCCTCTACTAAGTTCTAATGAATCAGAATCTCTGAAGATAATCAGCGTTTTCTAAATTCTAGACTCAATAAACTCTCTTGCAGCAGGATTTTACTTTGAGATGAGAATATAACAGTGCCTAGACACTCAGTCATTCTTACCACCTTATCTAACCGCAACCCTCCAGTTTCACTCTCCCACTCCACTTTATAGGACAGTTGTTATCTTTAATCATCATATAATTAAAGGTCATGGATGATTATCTTTTATCATCCATGAAAATCTCAATCTAGGACATAAGTTACTTAAGTAGAATCACATTTTTCTATTATCCTTAACAATGACTTTTAAGCAAGGAAAAAGAACTGAGCTAGTTGCTTTCTTCTACTGTTTCATGTAGCCCCCAAATGACAAAAATATATCTGCAATTTAAAAATTCTTAAACTATCACTTATAATAGTACTAGAGTAAATGGAATCAAGTTGAGTATAGCTCATCTATTTAGCAAGCAACAATTATGTTTTAGATGCTTATGTATCAGGTAGCAGAGACATCAGAGAAGCAAACACACTTCTGCCCTGGATGATCACAGAGACAATGGGAGGCCCCAGATAAACAATCACTGTAGTAAGGGCTTCAAAGAGGGAAGCACAGCTGCTAAGAAAGAACATAGAGGGGCATACAGAGAAGGGGTGGGGAGATAAGACACGCAAGTGTCTTTCCAGAGAAATTGATTCCAAAAACAAGTCGAAATTAGGTGGGAACAAATAGGGAATGTCAGGGTCTGAGACAGGAAAAAACAGTGTGTGCAAGAGCCAAGAGGTTAGAGAGACATGGCAAGTTTCAGAAAAGACATAAAGCAAGACTGAAACAGACATATGGGTGTGGGGATGGGGTGTGAAGAGATAAGGCTGGAGCTGCAGGCAGGCCCAACTTGAGGAAACACAGGATAAAGAAAGATATACATCAGTTTGGGAGGCTTTCAGAAGGCACCAGGACAGAAAGGGTGGAGGTCAGGAGGAAACTCTGGATGGGAGACACAAATCTCCGAGGCATCCATATTGAAATTTTAAGTGCAACTATGAACATCAGCTCACATTCCTCATAGCAAAAACAACCATTGCATTTTTGATACTGCTGTTTTCCCAAGTGCTTTCACATTAAATATGTAGTTTCAGTAAAATTTCCGATCAGGACGAAATGCTGCCTGCAAAAAACTCCCTCTTTCCTCCCCCATCATAGTATTCTTACCTGTAAAATGGCATGATAAGCTCGATTCATATATGCAAGCCATGCTTGTGGAAGAAAAAGTGCATGGTGCCATTCTGAAAGCTGGATGTGGACCTGTGGAAAAATGTACCAGGATATGTTAGATTACACAGAGTTACAACAGAATAAAATTAAAATCATGTCACCAATTCTTTCTTTTCTTTTATTTAAGTGACTTAAACTCAAAAACAAACAATCCAAGATCAGAACCACAAATAATATCTTTTGGATAGTCCCAGAGGAAAAGAATTTGGAGTCTTATGAAGACAAAGTGCCTGGAATTTCCTAAATTAAAGCAAATACAATCCTATAATAATAACAAGTTGAAATGTATGTGTAATAAAAATCCATCCTTGAAAATTGAGGGGGAGGGTGTTGTAAAACCTCTTCCAAAGTTGGGGAACTGAGTATTGTCTAACAAATCCCCCTAGCAATTTTAAATAAAAATAAATATTGCCTATATCCTGTATTTCAAATATGACAATTTCTGAAGTAATAAACTTAAATTGCCAAAAGAAATATCATGTTGTATAAAAACCATGGTGGTAAGAGCACACAGATGAGTCCTGCATATAGCAATTGTGCATACCACTAGATAAATGCCCTTTCATCAGTTTAGGTAAACAGGAGAAAAATGATATATGCCCATATTGAAATCTTATTTCTGAATAGAGACCCATGCAAAACATCTGGTTTTCATAGTCATTTCTGTTTCTATCCATTAGTATACAGCTATCTTGCAACAAATATAGAGTCTGCTTCTGTTAAAGAAGGATCACTCAAGAAAAACAGTTACAGTGCATCAGATGTCATGCTTCCTGTAAGTTATCTCATCTAACTTTAGTCTGTGTCCTTGGTAGGGGAGGAGACAGAGAAATATATACATAATTACAACAGAATCATGATAGTGCTTAAGAACTTTTCATTGCATTAAAGAATTCTTTCCAGTGTCTTGTGATAAGGTTAACAGCCTCCCTGAATATATATATATATAGAAAGTTCCCATGGCCTCCAGATGTTCTTTAATCTCAGCCTTCATGAAAGTCTACTTTGCAAGGTACTGTGGAAGGATATGAGGATTATCAATCAGTTCATGTATGCAGAGAGCTTTCTGGCTAGCAGGAGAGCTAGAGATGGGCACAAATAGATTTCTAAGAGAATGAAGAGTACAAAGAAATTAATTCTGACTGCTATTAATCACTTCTCATGCCACTGCTGCTTTTTTGAAAATTAGATACTCCAACAGTATGAAATGGATACTCAGACCATGAAATGAACTTGAAAAAATTACAAAGGTTAATCTCTTCTTTTTCTGAATAATATTCACTCTGCCAAGTGGGGTAGGGGGCATCTTATTAAAATGTCCACAAAATTCCTTGAAGGAAGGAACCCTCCAATCCCTGCTTCTTGTCTTGCTATTCAGGAAGCAAACAGTAACATAGGCCATGTATCCGGCTGGGGAGGCATTCATCAGTTTTTGGCCCTGCTCTCTCTTTGCAAAATGTGGGCAATCTTTAACTTTTTTCCTATCAATTCTTAACTACCATTAAGCCCTATTTTGAGACCTGGATTTAACAGAAATAACACTCAAGCACCACAACCCCAACTTTTACCTCTTAACTTTAGAAGCTCAAAGTATTTTCAGATTCCCTGCCAAATAACCCACGGGTCTCACTGCACTACTAAGAATGTCGATAGCTTCAACAAATTGGCGAAAAGAACACTGAAAGTTTTGGGAAGACAATGGTCTCAATTGCTCCTTAAATTTGAGTTAGAGAAGAAAAGGATTAAGGAAAAACATACATGAAAATGAACAAATAAAATGTTGAGCTTCTAAAAACAAAGTCATGCCAGGAAACCTATTTAGAAGGAGGTTATGAGCAAAAGGCTGAAGCTAATCCTGCTGCTCATCTGACCACAGGTAAAGTGGCTGCATTAGAGACTAGTTGCCACCCTGGAGCCCCTGTTTTATGGGATTAAGCCATAATCTTAAGAGTTTCCTGGAGTTTGCTGTGAATAAATGGGTCTCTTTAAAAATTCACTCTTTTGCTCTTCCCCTTAATGAAAAGGACTTGGAGAAATAGCTTGAAGAGAGTCATGTGCTTACACTCCAGTTTTGTCACAGGCAAAAAGGTGTCCCTGATAATTTTGAAGATGCATTTCAACTCAATATAGTCACTCATGTTGCCTATATTTTAGGCTAACATTGCTATGATTAAAAATAAATTCAATTAGCACTGATAAAGTATAGAAATTACGTCTAATTTGTGAGAAGAAAATGAAGGAATCCCAATCAAAATAATTTAGAATCATGAAGCTGCCACGTAGCTACTCAGCAGATGATAAAGCAGGGTTCTCAACTACTGTGTTACCAAGTTTTAATAAATGTGTGAAATTTATTTTTTTCTATAACCAACTACATACACTCTTACAATAACAGCAGTGTGGTGGACTATTGAGACAAGTAGGTCCTATGTCTTCAAGAAGAGTAAGAGGCTGGGCACCGTGGTTCAAGCCTATAATCTTAGCAAACCAATGGCTAAATGCAGTGGTGCACTCTTGTCATCCCCAGCTACATGGGGAAACAAAAATAGGATCACAGTCTAGGCAGGCTAGGACATAAAACAAGACCCTATCTCAAAAATAACCAATGCTGGGCTGGAGGAGTGGCTTAAGTGGTAGAGTGCTTGCCGATCAAATACAAAGCCCTGAGTTCAAATTCCAGTACCACCTAAAAAAAAAACAATGGAAAAAAGCACAGGCAAGTTGCTCAAGTGTAGAGCAGCTATCTAGGAAGCATGAGGCCCCAAGTTCAATACCCAGTGAGGTAGATGATGAGGAGGAATAGGAAGAGGAGGAGAAAGAGGAAGAGGAGGAGAGGAAGAAGAAAGAAAGAAGAAGAAGAAGAAGAGAAGAAGAAGAAGAAGAAGAAGAAGAAGAAGAAGAAGAAGAAGAAGAAGAAGAAGAAGAAGAAGAAAAGAAGAAGAAGAAGAAGAGGGGAGGAGGAGGGAGGAGGAGGAGGGGAGGGGGAGGGGGAAAGGGAGGGGGAAGAGGAGGAGGAGGAGGAGAAGGAGAAGAAAAAGAAGAAGTTGTTTCTATACAAAATAGGTAGTGAATATAATGAAACATTATACATGTGCCCAAGAAAGAGACCATATTAAGAAAATATGCAAGAGGAAGAAGGAAGCTAATGAAGTAAGAATGGGGACAGGAGCAGGTGAAAGGGTTAAACAGGCAATCAAAGTAGAGCTCATTAAGAAGGTAAAGTGTAAGCAAAACCTTGATGGGAGGTGAGAATGTAAGTGTTGCTGGGAATCTAAAATTGTTCAGCTATTATGGAAAAGTTTGGTGGTTCTTTAAAACATTGAACACAGAAATACCATAAGACCCAGCAGTTACACTTCTAGGTAGAATTTAAAACAATTCCAAATAAATAATTGTACATAAATGATTACAGCAGCACTTTTTTCACAATAGCCAAAAGGTGGAAACAATCAAAACGTATTCATGGATGAATGAATGAACAAAATATGGTATATGCATAAATGAAATAACTATTCAGCCATAAAAAGAATAAAGTACTCTTACTTGCCACAATATTGTATTGTGGATGAATCTTGAAAACAAAAGTGAAAGAAGCCAGATATAAAAGATCACATATTATTCCATTTATAAGAAATATCCAGAATGGCTAAACCTATCAAGGCACAAAGGAGTCTAGTGGTTGCTGAGGGCTGGGAGTAGGGGAGAGGGGAAGAAGGAAGGGGGACAAAGGAATGCAACACAGGTTACTCCAGAGGCACTTGAACACCCATGTTCATTGCAGTGCTATTCACAATAGCCAAGTTATGGAAACAGCCAAGATGCCCCATTACTGATGAATGGATTATGAAAATGTGGTATTTATACACAATGGAATTCTACTCACCCATGAAGAAGAATGAAATCTTATTATTTGCAAGTAAATGGATGGAACTGTAGAACATCATTCTGAGCGAGGTTAGCCAGCCTCAGAAGACCAAAAATCATATGCTCTCCCTCATATGCAGACTTTAGATCAAGGGCAAAAACAGCAAGGTGATTGAACTTTGGCTACGTGATAAGGCGACAGCACACAAGGGAGGTATGAGGATAGGTAAGAAACCCAAAAAACATGATAGTATTTGATGTCCTCAATGCAAATGAACTAATGCAGAAACTTTAAAGCGACAGAGGCCAATAGGAGAAGGGGATCACGAACTAGAGAAAAGATCAGTTCGAGAAGAATCAACTTAGAATGTAACACATTTGTACATGGAAGCAATGCGAGGAATCTCCCTGTATAACTATCCTTATCTCAACTAGCAAAAATGCTTTGTCCTTCTTATTATTGTTCATACTCTCTCTTCAACAAAATTAGAGAAAAGAGCAGAACAGTTTTTGCCTGGAAGCGAGGGAGGTGGAGGAAAGGGAGGAGACAGGTGGTGGAGGGAGAAATGACCCAAACATTGTATGCACACATGAATAAATGAAAAAAAAAAAAAAAGAAGGAAGGGGGAATGGGAAGTGACTATTAAATGGGTATAAGGCTTCATTTGGAAATGATAAAAATGTTTTGCAACTTAACTGCAATGATAATTGCACAACATTGTGAATGTTTCCCAATTAACTAAATGCTAGTTAATTGTACATTTTCAAATTTAAAGTGGTTAACTGTATGCTATATTAATATTACTTCAATTAATAAAACAAACAAACAACAACAAAACAAAACAAAAGTATGGCAAAGACTCTCAGGCAGGCACATGGCTGACCTGTGTGAGGAACAGAAAGAAGGCAGAATAACTAAAATACACAAGGTGAACGAAGAATAAGGGAGAAAGAAAAAAACTTGGTGAATTAACAGGGCACAGAGAACTTCCGAGAAGGCAGAATAACTAAAATACACAAGGTGAACGAAGAATAAGGGAGAAAGAAAAAAACTTGGTGAATTAACAGGGCAGCCAGAGACTTCAGGGTCTTCTAGGTCACTTTTCAGGACTCACTTTTAGGGAGTCATTATAAGGTTTAAGAAGAATGGCATGATCTTATTTCTA